GAAATAAAAACAAGAGCCATAGGTTCAGATGAAATTAATATAGATATGCTACTTCTTTGCTGTCCTATAATACTACCATATCTCACTAATATAATAAATTCATGTTTGCAAAATAATATATTTCCTGAATTGTGGGAGATTTCTAAAATACTGGCTCTTCCTAAAATATTAAAATCCAAATACTCTTAACGATCTGCGCCCCATTAGTCTGCTACCTACTTGTTCAAAAGATTTCGTGGCGATGTTCACACTTTAAATTTGAGGTTTAAAGGGCTACTTTTTCCTCCTCCTCTTCGAACTACTCTATATCGATGATCCTTCAGTTATGATATATATAGTTTGTATAATAATATTCCACAAAAATATAAAGTTAGTAAAGTTTCCTAATTTAAGTGCTGTAACAAAAAATATCTCATCGCTGCTCAATCAGAAAGCCATTGATTTCATAGATTTTATACTTCTGAAAAATTTTCAGTGATTCAGTAATAACATGCCACAAAAATATAAAGTTAGTAAAGTTTCCTTATTTAAGTGCTGTAACAAAAAATATCTCATCGCTGCTCAATCAGGAAGTCATTGATTTCATAGATTTTATACTTCTGAAAAATTTTCAGTGATTCAGTAATAACATGTTTTCTCTACCTCTTCCCTCTCTCTCTCTCCTTTGTTTTTTCTCTAGTTTAGTTTTCATTAAGGCTAGAACTAAGATAACAGTACCTTTCCGGTACATGTTGTACTTCTGAGTACTTGATTTCATATTTTAAACTAAATTTGATGCAAATTCTTTGATCCATGTTTTCCGACAGCAAAAAACCGCCAAACATGAAAAACACTCCTAACTTTTATGCCTCTCACCAATAAAATAAATATTCTAAACAGCTGGAACTGTGAACNAACGGTAGTTTTCGTAACATATTAGCTATTTATAATATGAGTGTCAAAAGTAAGGTTTCATTTTGTGAGTGAAAAAGTTTGCGAAACGAGCCTAGCAAGTTGAACAATTTCAGGAACAAAATAAAACTTTGTATAGCTGTCCTGTTTTCATAATATAATAGATACATTTATTATTTCTATTAAAACACATTTTTACATCTCATGTTATCGCAATTGCTGTGAAGTGGCCGTGTCAGGTGACGCCGAATCACCTGGTTACCAAAAAACAGTATTGTTTTCGACTCACGCGTTTGATTTAAAGTCACATTTGAAGTTCTTGCTGGTGTTTAATATCTTGCATAATGAAGAACAATAGTGAGGAATTATGTGTTCCTGATGATATTGAAGAGGCTGCGAAAAGAGCTTCAATTGAATTGTTACAAAAATATTCAGCTCAGCAGTACAAATTCGCATATTCTAATTTTCATAGCTGGTGTAGACTGGAAAACGTCGAAGGAAATTTTAGCGAAATCGTCTTTTTAGGCTATCTAGAAGAGAAATCAAAAAAATGGAACTCTTCAACTATGTGGAGCAAGTTTTCAATGATAAAGTCGAGTGCGCTCGCTGAAAATGGTGTTATTACAAGATAATATTTCAAGGTAATATCATGAAAGTTATGAGCCCATAAAATCAAAAACTCTTACGTTTGAACAAGTCCAGAGGTTTATGAATGAAGCACCGGATAAAAAATAATTGATGATTGACGATGCTACTATTTTTGGAATATATGGAGCCTGTCAGCGTGAAGAGCTATACCATTTATCAATAGAAGATATTAAATTATTGAATAAATCAGTAATTGTTCAAAATCCAAATACAAAAACGAAAATAGGTCGTTCTTTCTGCATTGTCGAAAAAACTTTGACTATTTTCATAAATACGTTGCATTACGCCTTCCTGTTATCAATCATCAAGGTTTTTTTCTAGAATACTCAAGTTATAAATGCAGTGTCAACCATATTTCTATAAACACGTTTGGGAAAATGCCCTCTACCATTGCTGAATTTCTGAACCTCCCGGAACCACAAGAATATACAGGTCACTTTTTCAGAAGGTGTTTTACTTCTTTGTTAGCAGAATTAGGAGCGAATACAACGCATCTTAAGAAGCACGGAGAATGTAAGTCTACAACAGCAGCTGAGGGTTCCGTCGATCAATCTATTTCTTATAAAGAGGCTATTGCTGAAATAATTATCCCAGCAGCTGGCTCCAGCGTTACAGCATCGTTACATAATCAAATGTTAATGTCTATGAAATTGTCAACTCAGCTAGTTCAAATACAATTTAAGAATCTTCAGCATCGCAAGATATCGATATCAGGAGTTGTTCTAATTGTACTTTTTATATTAATGTTCATAAATAATAAATATAATGTAATTGATGTATATTCCTAACACGGTTACAGGAGCTGGGATGATTCTGCAACCGTGTTAGGAATCACACGTTAAAAGGTAAGACCTCGTTAGTCCTTAGCTTGCACAAGTTTCTCAACTTCTGGGAGTTGCCGTTCATATGGGAGCGACAGCTGATTAACGGAAAAACAGATTTTAAACAGATTTTAATACATTTTTAACAGAATTTGATTTTATCTATATCTGTTGTTCATGATGAAACTTTCTTGAAAACTGTATAATTATGTTTTGTTTATTGCTATTCGGTCAAAAACAATCGTGTTAAAATACTTTTAACAATAATAGTGTTAAAGATATTTTCAACACGCTACTTTGTAAATATTATTTTGTAATACTCTTAACAACCATTGAAAATGTCACTTTCCATGACAGTCGTACAAAAGCAATGTTTTTCATCAGAGATACCGCTTGTGTTGTTTTCTATTATCCTTACACTTCGCCACTCCGTACTGATTACTGCATGTGAGTCGGAAACAAGTAAATGCGGTTTACCGCTTTTGAGTGCTTCTATCGCAGCCTTTTTCTGTTTCGATTCATATCAAACTACTCACCAGGAAGCTCAGGTAGGTGTGGTTGTGATTTCAACCAATCCTTCAATATCCCAACATATTCTACGAGTTCTTTCTTCGTTCTTCCCAAAGAATCTAACGCAACTTTCAGTGCGGCCTCCCTATCTGCTTTTAGCCAGTTCTCCAAATCAACCATCATGTCACTGGAAGAGAAATGTACGCCATATATACAGTAAATGTAACTAGAAATCACATATCATTCAGAGTATGTAAAGTTTAAGTGAACGATATAGTGCCCCTTACCTTCCAGCAGTTCCCCTTTAATGAAATGGTTAGGGAGCTAACTAATTTTGTTATTCAATAATCATTTCAGAGATCTGACTATTTATAGGTCATTCGAGTGCTTTCACCTATACCCACTCTTTCCGCTTCATTGGTTTTAGCGAGAGATGACCGTTTCGCAAGAATTGGTCATTTTTTGCTTGATTAGAGGTTTCCATATGTCACGTATCTCTACTCTGGCTTAACTAAATGCGTTATTGGACAACATATACGCGGCTTCTTTGAATTTTCTCCTAAACCAGTGTTCCTCTTTGTGGATGATTTCAGCTTGAGCCCACTTGATGTTATGCAAACTTGAGCAATGCAAACTTTCGATAGCCTCTTAGTTTCACCGATATATGATTCTCCGCACTCGCAGGGTATTCGGTAAATGCAATTCTTGGAATCGCAGTCCGTGTTTGTTGGCCTGGTTTTTGTGAGGCTGCTACTGACAGTGTTCCCAGATCTGAAGCAGGTCCTGATGTTATACTTGGACCTAATCTTTCTTATCCTTTCCGATAATCCTCTGATGTAGGGAAGTACAAGTACTGGTTGTGGCGGCTTCTCTTCCTTGTTGAGTTCTTGCTGTCTTCTAGCTAAGGCCTGTTCTACCATCACTCTGGAGTAACCATTCCGTTGAAGGTCAGTTTTGATGATGCCTAGTTCCTTTTCGAGACCTTCCTTTGTATTACAGAGCCCAAAAGCACGGTCTAGTAGAGTCTTAATGATTTCTCTCTCAGTCGATTGCTGATGGTTGGATCTCCGATCTCCCGCTGAAATCAATGAAGCGGGAAGATTGAAGGGGGTATAGGTGAAAGCACTCGAATGACCTATAAATAGTCAGATCTCGGAGAAATAAGTCCAGTTATCACCCTAAGACGATTGTGGATACTAACAATCGAAACGGCGTGACATCACTTGGTTTGAATTTTTTAATTCTTATTTTTAGTTATTTCAGGAATTTCAAATTGGTTTTGTGGCCTTTGAGTTCGCCGGAGCTTTAAAAATTACTATATCGGTTACTTCGACTATACCTGAGCAGTCAGTTCTCACTAGTGATTACATAAGGTACAATAAAGTTGAAGTTGAAGTTTTCATTATGTTATTCACTACGAAAAAGCCAGTTGATACTTTTGGAAATGAAGTTTGTGAAGTTTTTGTGTAGTTTTTGAAATTACTATAGATTTTAATCAAGTAACAGTCAATCAGAAAATTACTCTTGTTCGATATTTGAAAAATATCGTTTTCTTTCAATGTAATCTCCTCCACTTCACAAAGACATCCCAATACTTTTATAATACATGTGTTTGTTTCCCACTTACACTGCAGCTAAATATGAAACTTCACTAAGCATACGCTGCCAATGATTTTCCGCACATAACTGCTTTTATTTTCTATATACTTGAAAAAGTAATCTTAAACCAATATGTTCTGGAGATAAACTCGATGAACTTGACCACCTGGTACAAATTTCACGTTAATGAAACATTGAATAGTAGTGAACAAGTGATTCAAGTTCATATGATAAATAAACTGGAATGAAATAAGAGTTATTATAAACAACCTCGTCTTGTTTATTATTTTCGGAGATAACAAACTGCAGTTTATTTTAATGTTACACTTAATTGTGTTATTTCTACTTGAAAGATAAGAAAACTGCGACAAGCGTTCCACCATACAATAGTTTCTTTAGATTTATTCATACTCAACCATAGTACTGAAAATTTCCGAAACAGACAGATTCTTCATTCTGATTTATATTTTCCAAAATGATTAGTGAATGTACAGGGTGACCTAGCTTCGAGCTGCTCATCGTTTTGAGGTTCAACTGAATACACCTCGAACTTCAATGTTAAAGAACTCTTTCATTCAGAGAACTGCGTGGAATAAATTTTCTGGGGACTTTTTCCAAATAGATTAATTCTCCAGCGATTATTCTCCGATATGAATCGTTACTTTGCATAGGCATCGCTATGAGAGCGGCTTGAATATTTCTCTGTATTGCTTGTGTTTTGTCCTTGAGAAAAAAAAATACGTCACTACATAGCACATTTGTGGATCATCCCATTTTCCAAATTGCTGGGTGGATGAAAATAACAAAAATATTACACGAACTGCACATCCAAAGCACTTTATCAACCTGCAATTCAACATTGAATTTTCGATTCAATAAGAGTGAAGTAGGTTCAAGATCCTCAGATGATGCGTTGAATTTGAATGATTTGCTCCTGAGAGTACTCACAGTATTTTTTGTTGGGCGGGTTGGCTGTTCACTGTTCATCTTCCACTGCAGGGAACCACTGTGCATGCTGTTTTTGGCGAGTGCATTGGCTTGGGATGTGGGGGTTGAGCACACTGGTCATCGGATGCCTGCTTCCACGTTGTCCCGCTGGATACGGGAATGACAGAATCACTTGTGGTTCTGTTTTTCCCTAACTGAATGGCATCCCAACGATGACTCAATCCTAATTAAGTATATTCGTGCCAGGAGGATCAATGACACTGAGCCTATCAGCTGTCTCTACGGAACCTTCAAAATACAGGGCGCCTTTTCGTCGTAGCATCGCCTTGTCACGGTAATGCGAGATTCTGCCGTGATTGACCTTCTTTCCCTAGCTACTCGTGGGACTTTTATGAACAGAGTAAACTTAACAATTATTCTCAACGCTGAGTCTACAGAGGAGATGTGTCGAGCTTACGACTCCAACTGACCTCCCTGTAAATTTAGTTCAGGAGCAAGTCTACAGAGGAGATGGATGTCGAGCTTACGATTTCAACTGACCTCCCTGTAAATTTAGATCAGGAGCGAGAGCTTCTCAACTCTCCAACTCCTGATCCAATAACTGAATTTAAAAAAAGGTTTGCTGGTGCAGCCAGAAAACGACTGAGTCATCACCCCAAGAGCGGGGTACCTTATGAAGCCGCCTTACACCAAATTTTTGAGCGGCATATGCAGAATCTGTGTCAGATGGAGGAACAAACCACCCAGCAAACGTTTCCGCTCAAATGATATTCACCAAAACCAGAGGCGAAACAGCACTGTACGGTTGAATCTAAGGCATCGTCAGGTGTAGCTGACGTACAAAAACCCTCATATGAGGAAGTTGTCACGGCTATCAAGGTGGGAATCTTGTACCTTGACTATCCGACTACCCCATTAACGATGAAACAGCAGATGATATACTTCGTGCCTGCCCCGCTGGGGCTGAATCAGGTTTTTAGAGTTCGGCAGAGTCGTACTCTTACCACCCACTATAAAACTAATCGGCTTCGTTAAGAAGCTATGTTAATTTGGACGAGTGTAAACAGGTGTGAGCCACAATAAACCATTGCGAGTTGCGGTGGAGGGTCAAATAGACCCACTCACTTTATATCTAACCCAACTCACATTATTTCCTTTCAGTGCATTCCAGGTAAAAGGGGCCAGCCCAAATGAGATATTGAGACAATGAAAAAAATCTAGAAACACGTCAACTTCAGTTTTCAGGAGGACACATTTTGAACTGAAAATCAACTTTTCGTCAGTCACGTGAGGTTAATTTTTCACCTGTTTCGAGAACAAAGAGTTTGTTTGAGTACTTGAGATCGGAAGGAGCACTGTACCCTAAAGAACTTCACACATTACTAAATGTGCCACGGACTGGTACAGTTCATCTTCTGTCCAGAATGTGAGTTGAGAACAACCTTTGAGTAGCTTTCTGTAGCAGCTAGCCGAAAGCACTGTTTCAAAAGTACCGTTTTGGAAGTATTTGTGAGACCAAGGAGTAAGCACAGCGGTACAGGCACTAGACCGCTTCTGCTTCAAAATTCCATGATTTTTCTTATGTGGGTTCATTCTGGTCATTTTGAGACCTTCGAGTGGAATCTGTTCGAGGTAGTGTGAGAGTGAGACAAAGTGCAGTATATGACTGTTCAGGGGAAGGCGATGATTGAAGAAAAACAAACATGGCGGCATACCAAAATGGCAAAATGGTCGTATCTTTGTTGATGAAATAGTTGAATCATGATCAGCAGCACATCAAATGGAAGAGGCAGTCATACTGAATATATTTACAGAGAGAAAACAAACATGTCGATAAGTGGAAAGGGCAGGAGTGGAAAGAACGGCTATGTGTGTGTATATGAGTGAGTGAGTGAGTGGTAGAGAGAGAACAAACATGGCAGAATGCTAACAGGAAGCGAGTCATATCTTCTCAGACAATTGTTGGATAGTAACGGGCAACACATCAAATGAAAGAAAGAGAGAGGCTAAATCATTGAGAGAGAAAATAGAAATAGCGGTATACCGAAAGGGTGACAGCGCGTGCGAAGGCGGGGGAACTTTGTAATTTGTGTGAGAGGCATATTTGGAGTTGTGAACGGATGTCAAAGAAATTATGAAAAACTTGATTTTTTACTTTTGACATATATTTACGTTTCATGCGCGAATGAGTGCTTCTGAGTTCATATACAATATCATTTCCTATTGATAGTGTTGTACAAATTTTGTCTGTTGCATCTATTCCAAAATAATTAATTTCACATTCAATTTTTGAATTTTTGACATTTCTCTTCCTTAATAACGTGATTTCCGCTTAGAGAACTGCTCTTCTGCTCATGTACAGGGTAATCAAAATGTGTCCCTTTTGAGCAGTTTCCTGCTCATTTCAAGAGCCACTAGTAGACAGCTGTTTCAGTCAGTACCGGGCAGGCGGTCCTGCCTGTCTTTCAGGAAAGACCCAATCCACCGGATCAGGCCCCAAGGCAGGTCGAAACCGAATAATTTGTGCAGAAGACCTTCGTGCCATATACGGTCGAAGGCCTTCGAGATGTCTAGCAAAACAATGTGCACCTTTTTGTTGGTGTTCAGTTCATGGTGTTCAGTGGATGGTGTTTTCGACCAGCCTTAGAGCCTGTAACTCAGTGAAATGTTCTCTCCTGGAGCCAAATTGTTCATCAGGCAGAACATTTCGGTCCTCAACTTCTTCGTTGAGCCTTTGGAGAACGACTCTTTCAGCCAGCTTAGCCGCCGACGAGAGTAGACTGATCAGGCGATAATTCTGCGGGAACAGCAGGTTCTGACCCTGTTTTGGGATCATGACGACGATCGCAGGCTTCCACCATCTGGGGAAGTGTCTGAGGGCCAACAAACTGTTTTTAATGTTCGGAAAGTTCTCAACGCAGTTGTCCAGACTCACGTCGCGCCGACAAACCCCTTTTATATCGATAAGAAAGGTTTCACTCTAGACTCGAATGGTGGAGAAGATTCTATTGTTCTCAAAAAAAAAATCATAGGGTATTCCCGCTTGTTGTTGAGAGATAGCGTTACTGTCTATGATTGAGTTGTTTATTAGGACTAAATAGGTATCTGTACATTCTCCCGCTTGTCTTGACATGCACTTTTTTCTGAGTGACATTGTGATCGCGGATCCGTATTGATACGGCTCGCAGGCCGTATCTTTGACACGACTGATCTACACTATCATTCAGAAAGTTGCATCTAGTACAGTCCAACTAGTCACCAAACCATTCGTAACTTTGAGAAGTAGTGACTCAAAACACTACTCAGAAATGATAATTCTCAATTAGGAATGGCGAGTACATCGGATGCATTGTATCGTTCACTCTCGTTAGGAAAAAATGTTTTGTTTTTTATCCGTCAAGAAGGAATTAAAACAAGTTTGTTTTCTGGGGACTGATGTAGCTTCAGATTAAATTCTCGGAACAAAACTATGAACGGAATTCCACCAGTGAGTGTCAACTCGAATTCGTATTTTCATTTCGGAGTTGCACCAGTAGTACGCTATCACCGAAGCCTCGATACTTTCTATAGGGTGCGTCAGTAGCATCAAAGATTACTCCCCATACCGTGAGGTGAGTGATCCAAGAATCATGTGCTCCAAGCAAACGCAATGATCTGAGAGTAGCAACCTTCTGCATTTTTTCCGGACAAGAATTCCGCTATACAGCGGCAAGCTGGACTCTGACATAGCCAATTTTCAACTGTAATGCCAAAGGCAGTTCTTTGTTAATTTTTGGTCCCTAAATGCGAAATTGATAGTAAAAATTTCCTAATACGTAAGATTTTTGAGTTATGATTCTTTCACAAAAATTTAATGAACACGACATTCCAAATTTGCTTTTTTCCTAAATTGAGGAAATTTTTTTTAAATCTGGCAACACAGCGACTCTGCCCAGTATTCGAATCTGCTTCCACTGTATATGAGACTTGTAACGACGCTTCTCGAACTTCCGATACTCCAAGTTTCCAGAAAATACCAGAAATACGGAACCGCTATAAAAGTAGCAGGTTGACAATCGGATTATCAATATTGGTTTAACCCGAATAGTGGTGAGTTAGTATTAGAAAAGCGAGGTGAGCAAACACGCGGATATTAAGAGTATTATATTAGTGTTATATTTGTGAATAAAATAAGCTGACTCTTGTAAACGCAGTATCACAAATTTGAACTCGACGTACGCAACAGTATAAAAATGTCCAAGGTACAGAGACGTGGCTGCGTTAATCCTGCAGATAATTTCTGCTATATATGTGATCAGTTCAA